AGTCTCGCAACAGTATTTCAGTTACTATAGAGATATTACTGTAATTTTTTAGATAGGAGAAACCTAACTAAGCCCGAATGAAAAATTAGAAGATTTAATGCAAAAGTATATTGGTTATACAAATTATTAACATATAGTAACTAGATTGAAACTAAGTACTTTTGCTAATTTTTAAAAATCTTTTTTACCAGTCCTGGTCTTGATCTTGCAAAGTGCAAGACCAAGACCAATTTTGGGCAACACTAATGAGAAGGAGTTGGTCGGGGGCGCGATAAAATAAATACTATTTATTAAAATAGTATTTTATTAGTTACGCCGACGTTTCGAACATTTTATAGGTCTTCATCAGAGATTGGTAGCAGGCACTACAGGAAGCTGTTGGTAGAAACCAGTGTTATTTGAATCTACCAATCTATATAACCAAGAGTCTACCGCAATTGAGTCTATCAACTGCTTTCTGCAGTGCACTAATAAAATACTATTTTATTAAATAATAATTATTAAATCGCACCTCGACCAACTCCTTCTCATATTATGATCAAGGTCTACACACCATTATGAAATGATATATCGTTGATTACATCAATAACTTCATCAATATTACATTTAAATAGGTATAGGTAGATTGATAGATAAAAAATTAACTTAATTCTGGAACAAGGTTACCTAAGAATAACAATAATGAAAAAGTAAAAAAAAAAAAAAAATACAATCTGGCCAAAAACAAACATAATAAAAAATATAAAATCTTATCAATAAAAATTATAGTTGTAATGGAAATATGTATATATACGAGAAAGATTACTCAAGTTCTATCTACTGCCACAAATCCATATAATCCGCCTAGAAGACAGCTGAGGTGCTAGCCAAGAGACTTATTGCATTGAGCTACTTGCTGCATTATCTTTTTTTTTTTTTTTGTGTGTGTTATTTTACTACTGTTTTTTTTTTTTGTCTTTTTATTTTGTTATTAATATTCTTTTTTACTTATGCTATCTGTTAGCTCCCTCTTAGTTTATGTCAAACTTCGAATGAAGCCTAACTATTTAATTGTGATTTAATAAAAGAAAAAAAAAAGAATGAAAGTGGACTGTATCTTCAAACATTTATTTTGGAACATTTACGAAATCTAATATTGAAAACATAAAAACAAAATGAATCAATTTTACACTTGTTAGATAGGTAAAAAAAAAATAACAAACTTCTAGCATAAAATAAAGACCAGCTGAACAAACAATTGTGACAATATTAATGAAATATTTTCATGCTTGATCATAAAAGAAAAAACTATTTCTATGGCCCAAATTACAATAAAAATAAAAAAAAAAAACAACTTCTCTAGAGTCCCAATATGAAATTTATATATATATATAACAAATAATTAGATTGTACAACGTTACGTGGACGAAGCAGTACGTTCGTAAACCTCTGTCTCTATGCAGAAACCAATTGTAACTCTTCAATGAGCGTGCTCAAAACGAACTGCAAATGGGCAGCGGCGAGCACGACGAGAGAAGTACGTCTCTTCACAGTAGAACTGCAGTGGGCAGTGTTGAAGTTGGCAGTACTCAGCTCAGTGGCGGACGGAGTCAGACTGTCTATTGTCAATTCTACCGCCTTATGACTTGAACCTAGCACTTGTTTATAGCTAGTGCTACTACAATCCATAACAAAGTAGTCCAAGTATAAACTATTGATTTATTTAATATAAACAATATAAGCTATGGGCCTATAATACTTAATATACACCTATCTTGTACATAAATATACATATCATTAATTGATTTCACTTTGCTAAGATAAAACATATCAACAATTAATCAAACTAGTTAAGTGTAAAATAAAATGAATTAACGCTGTGGCGGTTTTAACTGTAAAAATAAAATAAATTAACGCTGTGGGGTTAACACTATCATTTCTTGTCCAAGATATCATATTTGCTGAATATCGAGGTAGATGGCAAATTTATTGTGAGCGAGGAATATGTATAACTAAGAAATAAATAAATAAAATATACGAGAAAGAAAGAAAAAAAAAGCAAAATCTGAAAAAAACATTAAATTTTTATGTTAAAACATAAAAAATAGGCTAACTTAGTAAAAAAATCTAACAATAGATACAGTAATTTAAATAATAATACGTAAACAATTATATTATAGAGGTATTATAACATAAAAATATAATTGTACGGAGTAAAAAGAAAAAAAAAATGTTTAAAAAAACCGAGATGGGTGAGTTCACCTTCATCTGACCGAGCTTATCTGAGGCCGGATTCCGCCGCTGGCCTAAAAACCCCCCTCGCCTTTTACGTCGGCAGCGGTTCTCGCTTCTTTAGCATTCTTCACCAACAGTTCACCAATGCGGTTGTTCACTTTCCTCCTCCAAGTACGGGCAAAGGGATTACTTAACGGGGGAAGGATACATAACTAGGGGGCAACCTATCTTCTATTAGTCGTGGAAAAGATTTATAATTTATATTAAGTTCTAAGTAAGCAGGAAAAGGCGTTACCGGTAAAAAAAGTTTGAAAAATTTAACAGAAGAAGTCTTACCGAATCTTTTTATAAACCAAGCTTATTAATTTTAATACAAAATATAAATTAATTAATAATTGGTTGTGATGGTGAACAAGAATGCCAGATCTTTGGGGATGGGCATTTAAAAAAAATATATATATCCAGTAGTATATAGAATTCCATCCCACTAAAAATCCGCCATGCAGCATCCTTATCCACCTTTAAAACTCTCTTATTCCAATTACTCTTCACAATCCAATCAGATGCTGGTTAAATACATACTATGTTATAAGACTTTAGTTTTCTTAAGACATTATATTTTATTGTTTTATTCTGTGTTGATCGTGAATTTTCATCACCACTCACAAAGCATTGTGAGTAGATAAAATTGGTTTTTCTCAATTTTTCTATTCATGAGATTGTATTTCTTTGAAATGTATTTTATTTTCTAATTATTTTCAGCACACTCCTCGCAATGTTTGTATATATATATATATATACATATATACACTTTTTTTTTTCTTCTCCTAATCTTTACGCGTAATCAATTAAATACCTTAGGGAACATATGTATTTCATCTTTTTTTTTCAATTTATTTCTTTATATATTAACAGTTATTATTTTATTTTATTTTTTTAAATTTTTATATTCCATCACTACAATGCTTTGCTTATAAAATTGATTTTGCATTCCTTTATAATTTCATTTAGTGATTATTATGCTATTGTTTTAGCACCAATATTGTAGTATTGAACCCCTATTACCCAACTGTTCTCGTTAATTTATCCTAAGAGCTATTATACTTTATTTATTACTAGTATTTTGTTATTATTCATTGTAATATGTCTTTTGGCCAGATTTATGGTTAATTTATATGAACAATACTGTTATTCTTAAGGGATCTAGTCCCAGAATAAAGATGATTTTCTCTTTCTATTTCTATGTTAAAAAGTAATCTCTATTTAAAAACTAAAGGAGGAGGTTTATTCTTAGTTGATTGACGTATACCTGTAGTAGAACATTTGCCAATCAACTAAGTAATTCTAAACTTGAATCACGCAGTAACCCTACAGGTGCTAAAAAATATATTTATTTATTACCTTATTCTAACCTTTGAAAAAAAATACATATACTATATCTTTGTCTTCTTCCCTTTGTGTTGTTTTATCATCTTTAGCCCAATATTTCAACCTTCCGATTTATATATATCAGAGATAGAGAACTTTTTAATCATTAGAAGACAAAGCACATTGATAAAGAAGGCAGCATTTTTTTTTTTATATTCTAATTTTGCTATGTTTATTTATATGTAAATACAAATTACACACATTTTTTTTATCTTATTTCTATTTCTTTTCAATTTTTCATTGACTGAGTAATTAAATATTAATTAATTCCAGCACTGCATTAATAAAGATCATGAAAATAATAATGTGGACCGCATGCGGTCTTGAGGCCGCAGGTATATACCGTCTGAAAAAACATCATCCTTAGAAAAATCATTTGTAATTCCTGCTTGCTCGTTTTGAAATTTTCCATGGTAATCTGATTCAATTATCATTTATTTTTCATATCCTTAATCATTCATTTTCTATTCAAAGTGGTAAGTAAGAGTCGTGTGATGCGTCCACCAAGTTTTAGTTTTATTGTATTCCATTTACTACATTTTCATTATGCTTCAATTTGTCTTTAGTTTATAATTTAATTAAATTTTTATTAATTCAGCCAAGAAAATACTGTTTTAATGTACTTATTTTTTTTTAAAGAGATTACATGTTCCAGAATAAAAATAAACTTCTTTCTCATATGACTAAGTATCCAGATGATCGTAGCTATTCTATCTCAAGTATTTACAGCTACATATGAAGAGCTAACTGCATACATACAATTAAGGAAGTCCATTTTTTAAATTAAAAAATCTCATTTATATATATTTATTATATTTGTTATTAATATTTGGTTCAATCACATTGTAAATATCTTTTTGTTATTTAAAATATTTTCACCTATTTGTTTATTACCCTGTTCGTTCTCTATCTATTATTGTATCGTGGCGGGCTTACAGACCTTTTCACAAAATTAAGATATAAATATAATGCAATATCATATTATTCAATATAATTTTTTTTTATCTTGATTTGATTCTGCTTATAAGGTATTGTTTTATTATTATTATTAAATATTAATTGTCCAATGAACTTCTTAAAAGGCATGCGGTATTCAATTTAGTTTTACGACTTTTTTTTTTATTTTGGTGTACTCACATGAAACAAAGATCCAATTTTTAGATATGATAACATTGTATCAACAGGCCTATAAACCTATTTCATAACAGATAGAAAGGCGATGCCTTGCGCCTATTAATATTTATTGCGCACGGAAAATGTATAAAGGGACTTTATCGCCTGGAAAATATAATCGACGAGATCTGAAACCCGAGGCGGGATATGTGACAAAGGCTGAGGGCACCGTTATAGGGGCACTTATGTACGACCACAGCGGGCCTTGCGTAAATATCTGGTTGCGAGCTTGGCAAGGACGCGGGATAGTAAAGCAGCGCGAGTTATATAATTCGGTGTCCGGATCATTACTATCTGATTGCTACGATTCAATTTGCTAACTCGGAGCGGTGAATCAATTCCCTCCGTGAATCAGATCATTATCCAGCCGGCGAGCGCCCACCTTCACCCAATTCCGGCTGCACAATCACCATCGGCCAATCATCCTTACCTCCTTCGGATCGTTAACCTCAACCGGCCACCCGAGGCACCCTCCGCTGACAACCTTCAACTAAGGATGATGCCATCAGGAGGAAATAACACTCACGGTCAGGACTTAGGGTTTAGAGATGTTGAAGATGATCAGACTATAAAAAATACATATATTTTTAAACGCTAAATTTATTTCTTTGACACTCTCATAAATTATTCTCAAACACAAATACGTATATCTACACAAATAAATAAATACGATTCATTTCAGATTATCATTATTGGCTACTGAAATACTTTTTGGAAATCGCTCCCTTAAAATTCGTCATTTCTCAACCTTATCCATATTTTAAACTACCCTATTCCGACTCTTATTTACAAATCAATCAGACAAAGTGTTAAGTATTAAGTATTAAGTACCAAAGATTTATGGTTCTCTATATCCTTTTTTTTTACTTTCCTACCTATACTAGGTAAGGAAAGTATTGCAATTGGGTCAAATTTCCGATATACGGTTTTCGACGTGTCTATACGTTTTAGAGCCCCCTAAGTCCTAAAAACGCATTTTTAGCCATTGGTCTGTCTGTTTGTTCCAAGATTTTCTCGGAAACTACTGAACCGATTTTGTTGCTCCTTTTTTTTATTTTGTAGGGTTTTGACTACTGATGCCTGTGACAGAAATTCGGTGCTCTATGCGCAATAGGTTGCGCGCAATAAATGAAAAACATGTTTTTCTATAGAATATATCGCAAAAACGGCTCTAACGATTTTGACGAAACTTTCCTATAATGTTCTAATTATTGTCCTTTCAATTTTTCTATATTGACTAAATTCACGTAAAAATTCAGAAAAAAGTTATAAAGAAAAGAAAAATGTTATGGGACCTAACTCCCTAAGTATATATTATACGGTAAAATTTATAATAAACTTTTGAAAGGTAATTAAATTACCAACAAAACAAAAAAAAATCACCGGAATTGAACCAGTATTAGCGATGATACAACTTATTCTATTCTTTGCACATGTTTAACTTATTACTTTCCTACCTATACTAGGTATTGCAATCGGGCCAAATTTCCGATATGCAGTTTTCGACGGATCTATACGTTTCAGAGCCCTCTGAATCAATGATATGAACACTTTCCTGAAATAGGTAGGAAAGTCATGTGGATGGACATACCAGATATTTTAATATGAATACATATTTTATATTACTTTAAACACAGTCATGGTAGTTATTTTTAAACCCGTTTTTAGTGTATATATTACGTGTCTTTATTTCTTTACTTTATTTATTAAGATATTAATTGAATGCCATGGATTTTCACCAATTTTACTAATTAACTTCACGAATGAACTCCACAATATGTCTGTTTGCATCTCAAGTTCAAAAGCCTTTGCGTTAGATTACTATTTTTTAAACCTTATATATTATTTTTTTTTTTTAAGCTTACTCCAAATTTAACGAAGCTTCTATAATTATACACTGACGCGTATAACAGGCAACAAACAGTAGTACAAATAGTTCAAGTCAACAAACGTTCGACGAATCTAGAACAAACAAGTGTTAGAAACATAATGGCTTAAAAGGATGTGGTTGGGAGATTTCCTATGGTATCTTGAATCAGGATAGTGACACGGAAGAGATACTGAGAATTTCCTCATGACTAGCACGTAATCATTAACTTGATGATTAGGGCAGTATACTTACTGTTAATGAGAGTTTCAAAAGAGAAGTTTACGATAAATATTATTAAAAAATCTAATATTTAACTTAAAAATTTTAAAAAATATTTCAATTATACGTGTAAATTGTATAACAGCTTTACATAGTATGTAAAAAGTATAACATGCTTGTCTACTGGATATTGAAGGAATTTATTTACTTCAATTTATTGGATAATCTCATTTTTATGAATTATATCAATATAAAGATAATTTTCGAAAATTAGCTGAATATGATAATATAATTAACACTTATAAATATGAATTATTATTTTTTCTGTTGACCCATTTATTACATTTTCCTTTTTTTTAATGCATCTAAAACAAGAGAATTATGAATTGTACACTATGAAGTGACATCTATGCAGATTAAGAAAAATTACAATTTTGTTGATAAAATAGATTTTTTAAATATATTTATACATAAATAACAATCCTCTAAGTAAGCCTGAACCTCTTCAACAATATTTAGAATATTTTTTATTTTATAGCATAAGGAATATTTCATTTGAAAATTAAAAAATCTCAATTCTCCAATTTCGGCTTGAGAAAAATCTCGAAGAGAAAAGATGACGTAGTGCGTATAGATTTGGAGTGACATGAGTTTAAAGAGAATGCCCTGATGTCAAACGACTTAGTGACATCCAAAAATATGTCAGGTGTATATTTGTTTTAGTGATTCAACAATGTGTAGCTACAATGACCCTGTGAAGGTAATGTGTAATAAAATGAAAACTACGAAAGCTGAATTGATTATTAAGTATTATTGGTCGATCAATATCTCAACAAATCTTTTGTATATTGATCTGTTGGGCGAAAGAGTGTACTATTTGTGAAAAAGTTATCAATTTTACATTTTTGTTTTATTCGTGCTATGTCATTTTGTAGTCAGCAACTGATATAAGTAGTCTGCTACTATTGAAAATAGCAGAGAGAAATAAAATATGAAATTATACAAATAAATTTTTTTAAAATGATCAGTTTTTATGCTTTCTTGCAAAAAAAGTAAATTTTCACACACGACCTTTTGAACTAATAGTAGAGATGTAACTGTATCCTATTTATAGATCATTTTAATAAATGACTGATTCAATCGCAAGGGGATTTTATTTCCTTAGTATTACTATACTACCAATCCTCATACAAAGTACATTTTTTAAAACTGAGTAAAACCTTTTGGAAAAAAATGACAACACTCCATAATGAAACAAAAAAAATTAAAACAAAAGTGCTTGGAAAAAAGTATTCGCACCCTATGACTCACAAGCTCTGTTTACTTTGGCATTAATCCTCCTGTGTCCATAGGTCATAGGTTTGTTTACTAATTTATCTCTAATCGTTTATTACCAGTATTCTCTAGTCTTTCAATCAGATTCCTTTAGTCAATAGACAATTATCATGCCAAAGACAAGTGAACTGTGTGCCGCAACTCGCGAAAAAAATTGTTTTACTGAGGAGTCAGCAAAAAACATATCGCCAAATTGCCGATTTCTTAGGGTTGATTTTTTCTACAGTGAGATACGTCATAAAAAGGTATGAAGAACGTGCTTCAACTGAAAACAGTGAACGTAAAGGGCGCCCAAAAAATTTAACTCCCAGGCTGAAGAGGAAAATCAGAAAAGAAGCTCTTAAAAATCCTCTGATAAGTTCTCGGGAGCTGGCTACCATAGTCCAATCAACGTCTAGAGTTCAGATTACTAGCAGAACAATTAAATATGCACTGAATTCGGAAGGTCTCCATGGTAGAGTCCCAAGAAAGAAGCCATACATCAGTGAAACAAATTGCAAAAAGTGCCTTGCTTTTGCTAGTGAGTACGTACAGAAACCCTTAATCTTTTGGGAAAATGTCATTTTTTCTGACGAAAGCAAATGTAATACCCTTGACAAAAATGTAAGAAAACACCATATCACTAGTGGACATCACCTTAAACAACTTCTTGTTCAAGAATGGGAACAAATAAACGTAGATTTAATTACAAAACTAGTGCATTCAATGCTCAGACGTCTACAAGCAATTATTGACGCAAATGGCCTATTTACAAAATATTAAAACTATTAAAATTTAAAATAAACTTGTAAATGTGGAAGTGTGCAAATAATTTTTTCCAAGCACTTTTATTGTTTTAAATATTTTGTTTGATTATGAAGTGTTTTTATTTTTTTGTAAAAAGGTTTTTTCAGTTTTTAATAAATTTACTTTTCATTTTTGCAAAGGAAAGCGTAGTTTTTTGTTTCCTTGAACTACTTTATTCATAAAAACCCGTTGTGCAAATACTTTTTTCCATCACTGTATCTACAAGGATTACATGGTTTGCATTAAGTCAGTAAATGGATAAAATTTAGTAATGCAGATCAGTAACCGAAAAGTACACATTTTTCTTAAACTCAAAAATAAATAACGTTAGATTCAATTTGATTTTTTTTTTCACTGATAGTTGTACACTAATTATCTTTTCTCTTTTTTTTATTTTATTTCTCAACGGTATACTACCAATTATAGCTAGTTAAAGTATCAGGAGCGTGACTTGAACTTTTAAAACTAGAAAAATACCCGGGCCGTTATCAGTCCCAGGGCAGCTAGTTTCATTAACACTCTCCGTCGGACCAGGATAAGGTTAGAGAAACCTTTTCTAGTTTTTAAAGTACAGTTGACAGCGGCGATAGTCTCAACTAGCTCGAAAGGGGTTGACATTCCCAGGACGTACCATTAGGCCTGCGCTAGATGGAATTGAGAAGTTGTGGGCGTCGGGTATGCCCCGGTGACGCAGCGGATCGGAATCTGCATATCACGGGGCCCCCTCCAGCCTATTATAGCTCACTCCTACATAATGCCCAATAACTTTTTCTGCCGTACCGTTTGCATAACCGTAAAACACGTGTTTACACACTCCTTCTGCTGAGTAGCCCATTTTTTTTTTCGCTCCGTGTAATCACCTCTGTGGGTATTGCTAGTTTTGATTTCGGAAGCGGTCTCGCCGTTCGATCGTTTCGTCATAAGTAATAAAGAAATCGGTATTTACCAAAAACATTAGAATTAAACCCAAGCAAAGTACTACCGAACGAATTTATTTTAACTAAATTTACATATAACCGGAACATTTATTTGTGGACAAAAATATACTTGATAATTTTATTCTACTAGTAAAAAAAAAGCATTATTTTATTAACTTTTGGAGGCATCCTATATACTATAGTTAAATATATAAAAATAATTACAGAAATGTTAACAAAAGAATATATTTTGCTTCTTGAATAATGGAATTAAATTATTAGTCCAACATTTTTTTTTTTAAATTTATTTTATTTTATTTATTGTTACATTCCACATCTACCTTAGCGGCTTTAGATGTAATAAAATTAGGTGTACAAATTTAATGTCTTTTATAAATTCAAATACTATCTTTTCGTCGTCATCTGAAGGTGCGTCAGATATGTTGGAAGGTATATTATGTTTTGTTCTGGTGTCAGAGTTTTGTTTTTCAATGTTTATTTGCAACTATCAACTGTACTATGTTTAAAATCAACAAATGAGCTAACATTATTAGCAAAAACAATTAAACGTCCTGCACGGGGAAGAACTTCTATCCTGGATTGATTCAAATACTTTTGTTGTTTAAGGAAAATATTGGGCATTTTAATTCCATTTTCGATTTCTGGAGCTTGTCACTTGTCCCTCCTCCCTCAATAACGTAAGGTGAAAAAAAAAAATGAAAATCATTAATAAGTAAGCTACATGAATGAATAGAATATGTGAACTAAAATCGATTAAAATAAGTCGATTAGCTGGCTAGGCTAGGGGTGGTATTTTCTAGGTATGCAACGATTTCATTGATACCTAAATGTTATTTATATTTAAATTGTGATTTATATTCAAAGATAATAATATACATTATTATTGTTTATAGTTTATAGTTTACAATACGCATTACGGATTGTATAACATATACAAATAATTTATTTTCTTTTAATTAGTTTTTTTTCGCTATTCTTTTCTTATAAAATTAATTTAATGCCAGCTCCTAATTGTATTTATCTATTTATTGTTATTTTATATCTCTTATGCCGGGATAATGCAATATTGTGATCCCGTTGCCCATCTTCTGTCATTAATATATGTTTAATCTATATAAATACTATTTATTTTTATTTTTGCTTTTTCTTTCTATACATGTACTTCTTCTTTTTTTCTTCCTTTTTTGTTATTTTTTCGAGTACAATTATAAATATAATTGAGAAGATTTTATTTTATTTTTATGTTATTTACATGCAATTATTTAAGTTGTATGTATTGTTTGAAACTTTATTAAGTTAGTTTTTGGCCAGGTATGTATTTTTTCTTTTGCAACGATAATATGTTGTTCAAAAATTATAAAATCACGAATTTGGTAAGTATTTTCTCAAGAATTACGTAAATGGGAATGTTAAGTTATTTGTAAATTAAGTATACTGTATGAGAAGAAGAAAAGTTGCTCATTTAAAATTTTCCATAAATATTCGAGAGAATTCTGTATAAGTTTATTACGAACCAGTGATATAGAATGAGGTTGATTTTTAGGAATAATTTTTGATAAAATACATTTTTTTTAAAAAGGTTAAATAAATTGTGATATATTTTTTAAATAATAGATATTTATAATACAATATTTACAATGAAAAATGAAGGGAAAATGACATCAAAAGAGTGTTCTATAATAAGCAGGCTCAGAATTGGACATACCAAACTGACCCATCTCCACCTACTTCTTGGCTTACATCGACCAACATGTGAGGTATGTGAAAATGCTAATCTGACAGTTGAACACATATTCCAGTGCAAAAAGTTCCGGAAACAGCTAATCGAACTCCAAATTGAAGACAAGGCACCGTACAAGGAAAACACTGGTATTGAAAAAACGCTGAAGTACATCCGAAAAATAAAATTGTTATATTTAAGTTATATTTAAGAAGAACGATCGTCGCTAATGACCTTGGCAGTCGATGCGACGTTAAATAACGGCAAATAAAAAAAAAATATATATATTAAAAAAAAAATGTTTTCTAAATTGCTACCCATACATTGTATTTTTTTCCTCTTTCATATTTTAAAACCTCATTATTTAATTACTTTTTATAATTATTTTTTGTCATATTTTAAGGTATGAAAAAAATTATATATTTAAGAATTTTGTTTTATATCTTAAAAACTTTTTATGGATATTTTGTAGCTAAGTTTAGAACGGTGGTGAAAAAAGGGGAAAATTTCCGCAGCTTAAAGAATAATTCAGAAAAAAAAATAGGGCTCCTTAAAATATAATTTGTATCAGCACTCATGAATGACTTTATATAATATCATTCGTTAAGTAAGTGAAAAATGATATTTGCAGGTACATCAGGATACATATTTCATTGTCTGCATGTGAGCTTATGACAGTCGATTTTAAATTGTTCAAGATATTTTTTTTATTTTTGTTCTCCCTATCCTCGCCTTTCAGGCTATACGGGATTTTCTTGGGCCAGGAGGGTGAGGGCGAGGGATCAATGCCAAAGTTAAAAGTGCCCCTCAATGGGTCCCGAGACAGAACTAGTAATTATTCTATCATCAATAACTCCGAGGATCATATTGCTGGGCAACGCGTCAGCTAGCTCGTGCAACCCGCCTCCTATTCGAGATATGTGATAGATCGATCAGTTACGATTTCTCGCACAGACAAGGTAATATTTTTCCCAAATTCTGTGGAAACTCTGGTAATTCACTTTTCTAAAATCTAACCCTAGATCTGCCCCTGTTTCAAAAATATAATTGTTAGATTCTTTTTTTTCCAATGTAATGAAGTGAAATAGTTCATCAACTTACTAAAGAAACAATGTAAAGAGAAATATCATACCGATTCGTTCTGGAAGGATAACCTTATGAAAATAGTAATCACCGGGAGTTAATTGTATATTAAAAGCGCATGAGATGCAAACATGTATTAACAGACATGAAATTAGTACTAGGCATTAATAAACATTTGTTATACAATGGCGAAAGAAACAATGCGTGGTAATAGCTAATTAAAACCCAGCGCATGTTCCAGCCGCGCCGATTGGCTACCAACTCCATTGCAATGACGACACAACATATGCAGGAAATGATCTGTGGTACACAGGCAGCGAATAGGGATGATCTAATGGTTCGTTATGCAACGTAACGAGATTGGACAACCAGCGTTGTGCATAAAATGTCCTGCAACTCAACGTAAACAGACAATTACTTACAAAATTATGACGAGGAATGTGCATTGGATTGGATTGAAGTGAACAAGAAACAAGATAATAACTAAAAACACAAGCGGTCCCGTTATATGATGGATAACCTGTTGTAAGCCCTTCCTGAATAATGTATGATCCAATGCCTTCGTTATAATTTTCACTTGAACATAAATTATTTCTCTACAAAGTTAACATACAACGTTATATTGTCCACATATAACATAGACCATATAACATACATAGACTGATGGAATAGGATACCAATTAGTCTATTCATGCCTGAACAGAAGATGTTGGCATACCACAGAAAAATACTAAACAACTCATACGAGGTGACGCCCAAAACCCAAAAAAGAAGTCGATTATGATCAAGAGCCTATGATCAAGCCCTGGTGCTGTTGTTTATTGTAGATATTGTGAATAATGTAAATATTTTTATAATAAGAGACTTAGGTATAATTTAAAACCTTTTTTCAGTGAGTTCACGTAGCTCAAATTTACGATACTTCAGATTACTACATTTGTTCAGACAAGCTGATACATTTAACTAATTTCCTTTGGTGAGGAAAATGACATAACAAAAGTTTATTGAACTAATTTAGTATTTTAATTCAAATAAAATATTAGTCATGAGTTTTTTTTTTTTTAGGAAAATCACTTTTTCAATATAGTTATCTCTAAATAACGGTATTTTGTTTTGTCTTAGATTCAAAGAAACGAACATGGGAGGAAAATAATTTTATTTTATACTTAAAACATACACATATAAGTTCATTACGAATTATTAGCCACTCACCTAATATTTCAGCAATAAAAATAAGTTTAACTCACCTGTAAGGAAAAAAAAATCAAGTATTAAAAAAATTACAACATAAATATTATATTAAATTCAGCCTTAACAGTAAATGAAATTTAAAAAAATAACTAAACAAATATTATTTATTCTAGGTATATCATTACTTAAAAACAATTTAATTTTTTTTAAATAATACAAGCAATTACTCATGTTGGAGGATTTTCAAGTACCAAAAGTTACGAAACCCAAAAAGGTCTGTAGAGGGGCTACTTAAAACTGGGAAAATTGTAATGTATTTAAAACAAATATCAACAACTTATAACCCAAGAAATAGAAAATTATTTATTTATCAGCCTAACTCTACAAACGACATATTACCTAATATCAGGTTGTAAAAATGAATCCAAAAGGCATATATCTACTACATCTAAAAATAAAATATTACTATAAAACAAATTCATAACAATATTACTCTTGAATAAAATTGGACATAGCTCAGACATATCTAAATAAACGATATACACCTGTCATGATAGTGACAATTAGCAGAGTTGTTACGTTACAAAATGGCATGATGAAGAATAGTACCCATTAACACCTCTTCCTTGGTCTGTTTACATCCTTAAATCAGGAAAGGAGATCTCTCATCCAGCTCCTTTTCAGTAATATTTAATATTTAAATCAACATTTTATATAAATTATGTAGATTATTAAATTATATCCAAATTTTTTTTTGTTATTTTTCCTTTTGGTTTTTTTTTCCTTTTCATTTTTCTTTATTTTATTTTTTTAATATATAACCTCTACTACACAACAATAAATATAATTAATACAATAGGAAACTGGCCTAATGTGACATTTATTGCAATTTTATTCTACTCAAATCTACCTGCTAATATTGATTTCCTAATTTATGCATAATAAAATAAACTTTCCATTTGTTAACGTATGAAAGAAACTCAATTTAATCTACTGAGTGGCAGCTAATTTAATTCTCTCATAACGCTGCCGTGTTAACGTTCAATGCAGTTAAGTAATAAACGAGAAACAAAGAGTCACAACGTCTCTACATGTGCACTCACAGTTAAAATCTTGTTGCTGCTTGTTTTATTCCTATGATCTAAGAGAAATTAATACCATAATAACAAACGAAGAAGACCTTTTAATTTTTCAATGAAATTAATCGATGGATGCGAGGATATAAAACAGCATCCCATCAAAGCAAAATGACCCGTGTGATATTTTTTACATAACACCTTTCACAAGTTAAACACCACTATTCCCATCGTAATTCCCCTACGCAATGTTAAATACCAGACTTTCACTCAAGATTGGCCCGGTAGATCTGGCCTTCTGATGGAGGAACGTCAGGAATAGAAAGTCATCTAAGCCTAGCATCTTATCTCGATGACACATGTCGAAGCCATATGGGCGGGACCAGGGGGGAGAAGGCAGCCCATGGTCCCATATCTATCGATCCATTCCCAGACCACAAAGATGTTTCTTTAATCGCCGGAAGAAATCGCCATTGACCAAATTGGTCCTCTTACTTCCTCAGTTTTTCGATCCAGGAGATCGTCTACCGAGAGGAAGGATGCTGTCAGTTAGTTGGTAATTATAAAACGTTTATGTTAACTATGGGGAGGGTTAATTGGGGATAAGTAACTAGACTGTAGGGGGTCAAGTACGTTAATTGTCGTCCCTAGGTGATTACTATAATTTGTTACCCTCCTCATAATGTCGATTTATTTATTTTTTTTTTAATAATTAACTGTAACTAATATATTTAGATTAGTCAGTTTTTCAAGTACATTTAATTACCTTTAATATGATATAAATGTTTAATAAATATAAACGTAAAACAAAATAACCAGATGTAATGCTGAAAGGTGGTTTAAATAAAAATGAATATTGAAGAGAAGATTAGTTGGGGTGGTCAGTCAAAAAGGAAGGCAAAAATAAATGATAATATTTATTTTTTACATATGCCGACGTTTCGACCTGAAGTTCAGGCCTTCATCAGGGCTAAGAAAATAACCAGATAATGAGAAACATGAGTAGTGATGGTAAAAAAAAAATTATTTTTTATTTTTTATTTTTATTTTATTTTTTACCATCACTACTTATGTTTCTCATACCTTGTTATCTGTTTATTTTCTTAGCCCTGATGAAGGCCTGAACTTCAGGTCGAAACGTCGGCATATGTAAAAAATAAATATTATCATTTATTTTTGCCTTCCTTTTTGACTGACCACCCCAACTATTCTTCTCTTCATTATCCACGACAGTCAACCAATTACCAATTATAAAAATTAATATTATTGACATGAATATTAAGACGACTTTGAATAAAAAATAGCTCATTTTTTTTTAAGTTGGTATAGGAGGGAATTTAATGAGTAAAATAATGACATAAATGTTTCAATTTAAAACATTTATTTATATCTGGAAATACGGAAGTTTTCAAGAGCATTGTTTTTAAAGTATTCAAGTCAAGCGTAAAACATGAATAAATAAAAGCTGAAACACTGAAAAACTTATATTCATTTTTTAATTTATTACACACAACGTGTAGTATGTACGGGCAAATATTTTTGTAAAATGTATGATACAGAAATGTTTATGTTAAATTTTATTTAACAACCAGCTAGCAGTTGATCAACATATAGTGATCCTTCAACAACGAATTTAAATAAATTTAAACGGATGTAACAATAGTTAAATAAGATATATGGCTATAGCTGACATGTCACTGAATAATTATTGTGAAATTGTAATAATTATTGTGAAACTTGGTTTAGAATAATTTCTAGAATTCTTAGAAGCGAAGAAAACGAATTAAATTTTATTCTTAAAATTCTAGACACTTTCATTTAAAACGGTCACTGATTTCAGAAATTCAATTTCAATGAAAAAAAAAACTTATTTCATACATCATCCACAACTAATTAAGTTAAATTCCGAAAATCACAACACGCAATCATCCCATATGTATATGTGCACATATAAGTATTTTTGTAAATGTTTTATATCATTCATTTAGTTGTTTACAATAAGCTGTGGTAAAGACGACTAACGTAAGTTAATGAAAAATAGAAAGGTATACAATCATTAACAAAAAATTATTATAAATATTAATAACACAGATTTAGCAATTTGAAAATACATTTATTTTTCAAATTTCGCAGTGATTTCTTACATTTAAAACAATTTATTAAATACTAAAACATTTTCGTTATAAGTGGGTAGTTATACTTATAAAATACTAAAGGTGTCTTGCCTGAGGTGTAAACAAAAATTTACACGATGCCATTCCATAAAACACACCCAGTGAATTAAAAGATTTCTAAAAAGCACAATAACCATATTTCAGATTACAACGAATTCCACGCTGCCAAACCCCTTTCCATGAAGCGATTCCATTTGAAAAGTAATGTTTATAAAGTAGCAAAGATCGGACTACTTTACAATCAAAAACAATCAAGAAACGGATGTTACTAAATCTCCAAATAAAATTAAAAATCAGAAAATGGGGACTCGTGCGCATAGAGATTTAGGTTCCTCAATACGTATGAGAAATGTAAGAATCTTAAAATAATAAACACATATTTACAAAACTTATTGAGTTGTAAATGGCCAATGCACAAAAAACCATGAGTCCTCCTTTAGATACTCCATCGCTTCCAAAAATTGTAATGAAGTCTTAAGTAATTATCTTAATTTATTAAGAATGACCAATCAATCAACGTTTCTTTCATCCAGCCATCATCCGGATAAGAACACGTATAAAATATGAGTATATGTTTTAGATATGCAATTAATGAAAAGTTAGCGTTATTTTGTTTTAGAAAGATGTACTACATCTTTTTTTGGGAAGTCTCTTTTAGACTGTTGGTTTGAGATTTGCCAAATTTAGTCCGCAATAGGATTTTTCTGTAGTAATGATGCCTGAAATTGGTGAGAAGTTGACCGATAGATGTGATATTTTTTTTTTATTTGTTAAGAATTTTTTTTTTTAAATCATCTACAGATTTCAATTTACACAGCGAAACAAAAAATAATCATAACAGTTCTAGCGAAGGTACAGCAAATAATTTTTTAATTGATATTTGTACCCAAAGCGTTAACAAAGGTTTTTTTTTTTGTTCCATATCCCCAGATTCATAGAAGTTTGTCTTTAATATGTCGTGTTGTATTTCCTGTTTACTGTTTCATAAATACATATACACAAGGACGTGTGAGCGAACTCTCAAGTTATTTTGCATATTTTAATAAATACAAAAACTTGCACCTTCACTGTACAACCCATGAAGGGTCTTATGCTCAGTACGATGTACGGAAAATATTCGTAAACTAGTTGTATTTTTCAAGTACTGTTTCTTGATCATCGGTTGTGCAAAAAGGTATTTTGACCAAGATTGAGGCTGGGTATGCCCAATATGATACCCAGGCACGATCCATGGACGATTAAAATGAATAAATAATTTATTTGCCATCAGTCGAGTTCGAACCTGGGACCTTTGAGCATTGGACGCTCAGCGCACTACCACTGATCTACCACACTCCCTTAAATAACTATAATGGTATCACAAATAAAATACGTCATCAGAGTTTTATTCTATGTAATTATAGATAGAACGCCATAAATATTTTTTGAAAATCTCATGGTTGTAATAAAATTCCCCAAAAAGCCCGCACATGAAAATGAAACTTATGACACTTCACAAACGACTCAAACTATCCTATCTTCTTTTTTATGAATTATCAAAACTGAAACTGAGACAGAAAATGAATACATATAAATTCCTTAACCCATATGGACATACTCATGACAGATGGTTGTCGAAACAAGTTGACAGATGTAAATAAATACTTAAAATATAGGTAAGTTAGGAACAAAAGCACATTTATTAATCTTCGATACTTAGATCATTTTTTCGATTCTAAAGTTCATACGTAACTCGATATTCGCCGCCTAACCTTTCAAATCCTTCGCTGGCCGTTGCATATTTTCATTGTATCTTGTATCCATAGCCAGTACGACTCTGTTGGTATCCCAGTAAGGAAGTACATTCGGTTTTGTGGTACCTTGTGTAAGCCCCTTGTTGTTTTCTTACTGTTCGAGCCAGGTGAATGATTCCTCAATGGTTCTAGTGAATAATTCAACAGCTACTTAAATTTCTTCACCATTGTGGAGTCTTGTTGGAACCGAAATCTTTTTTAGAAACATTTTACGCTCCTATTTCTTAGAAAAATGACCCATAAATAAAGATTTATTATTACTGTTTGAGTACCAAAAAGGGTATGGTGTTTGAAAGGATATGATGAATAAAAATATCCATATTTAATGAAATCAAAATTCCATGACTCAAGATAGCTGAAGATATTAACAACAAAAAAAAAAATCTGAAATTTCATTAAATTATTAATATATAAATTGAAATATGAATACTATGGTAATATATTAAAAGATATATCTTCATATTTCCATGGCAGTTTGCCATTTGAAACTGGACATGTTAGATAATTGAAATTCAGCCTCTTGTAGCTAGGAACCATTATCCTTATAATATTATTATTTTTTATCTACACGTAATTTTATTCTATTTTTAATTATCAGTTGTAGAGTACTACCAATGGGTATTCACTAGTTGTATTTTTTCAATCTAATACAGTTTTAAATTTCAATAAATATATTTTAGAAAATATCAGTTATTTTATTAATATAAAATATATATATCTATATATATTATATTATATCATATTTAATATTTATTTATCTTTTACTAATTTTTAAAAATTCTAATAAATGTATCAATCCAATGTGTGTTTAAGTTTTTTTTGTGTAAGTTTTATAATTAACGGTTTCATTTTTTTTTATTAAATGTTTTTCTATTATTTCATAGTTTAATATTTTCGGCTCGTCAAAAACAAATTACTTATAAAATATGTGATGAAGGCACAGGAGCAGATCTTTAACATTTTATTTTATTCATTTTTATTAACAACAATTGTGAACTCGATATCATACGTCATTTTAAAAAAGTGTTATTTCATAATAAAAACTGTGATAATTAAACTAAATATATAAATGGCTTATGATATCGAGTTCATGCTTAGTTTCGATTGTTGGTAAAAATAAATAAATAAAATAAAACTAGTTGGTCCGAAATTATAAACTTTTAAATAACCATATGCCATATCAAATAACCATGCAATATTAACAAAAAAAGTGTATACTTTTTGAGTTATTCGAAATTTAATTTTACCATCTCTCGTTACTTTTTTTCCAGCTTCTTTTCGTTGAAGTATGTTATGTAGATAAATTTAAGAGGCATCGATAAGAAGACTTTAGATATGTTTCATTGAAATCGGTATATTCGTTTAGGCGCTACAGTCAATAGCAACGCACGTTTTTTGGTCGCCATCTTGAAAGGAAAAGGCGGATAGAAATGTCGATGAAGGAGGATCATCCTCGGGTGACCTCTAATTTTAAATCCAAATTTGAAAAAAAAATCGTTTTCCATCTTGTACTGCTCCTACCAAAGTATGGAGGACAATTAGCATGCCAAGGTCATTACATAGATGTAATATGGCTTTCCACTAAATTTTTATAATATATTTATAATATATATATATATATATATATTATATATATATATATATATATATATATATATATATATATATATATATATATAAAATACGTTATAATGTTTTTTTATAGAAACGTATCCGAATCGAAATCTGGTATTGTATCTTATTGAATTGGATCTGGAGTTGCTTATAGCCAAGGCAGATCCCATAAAGACAGGGGTCCAGACCGTACAATATATCAGCCACGCTCTTTACGCCCCGGTTGACTCATGATATCGCTCCAGTACACGAGCACTATCTCTAATAGCAAGGATACCCTAGGATTATGCTGTACGGATGGAGGGTCGATTCCCCCACAGCATGCTCCAGATGCAAATGGTAGCCCGAAGACAGAAGTGCCGGAGTAGATGAAGGTCCCGCGGCCGGGAATTCGGTATGACTCAGCCGGCACCGGATTCCGGTGCTCACCCCTGCCCTTCCCGTCCCAGAGGATGCCTTTAGTCTCATCGGCAATTGTCTTCTTCCATTCCTTCTCTCTGGAGCAGAACGACAATTGTTTCAAAACTTTGTCTAGGCTAATATAATAATAGTTACTTCTTTTTGTACCCATTTAGATATCTACAATATATATATATATGCTTACAATATTATGCATTTCCAATTAAACATTTATATCAACAGGGGCCAATCATTCATAGTCCGTGATACAGGCTCCTTTTTATCAAATTATTAATATTTTTTATTATTATTAATATTTATTTACGGTAATTCTCGGTGCATTTTCAATATGGATATTAGTAGAGTCCATTTAGCGAGATATTAAAAAATCATGAACACCCATTTGCTTTTCACTAGCATACTGATAATTTCTTTTTTTTTTTTATTATTTCTTAATGATATTTACGACTGTATTAAATAAATACATCTAGTAAATTTGAACATATGGATATAACGACTTGGAAACACTTGCTGAGTAACTATCCAATTGTAGCACTCTACTGATATGTCTACATCAGGAGATCATGGACCCAGCTTCTATTCAGACGCCTCGGAGGGTTATAGGGAATTGAAGAGGAAGCAAGGTTAGAAACGAGAGGGTTGGGATGATTCTGAAGTTTATTATGGAAGGATAGGTATCTGGATTGGGACAGATCTGAAACATAAGAAACATTAAGGTCATTATGGATAGTTTTATTAGTAACAAAGTAGGGAGTATTGAGGATTTTACTAAGGATTTTGGATTGGAAGGATTGGATATGAAAGGAATTCGATGGTTTAGTGGAACCCTATAGCATAACTCCGTATATGAGTCTTTTGTAATTAATTGGAAGTTCAGAGCATTTGTCTAGTAAGTGCTGAAGTAATCGGAAACGTCGAGCGGTTTCTTGTAGTTTCAGTCTAGTATGAAGATTCCAAGTTAGTCGTTTGTCCAGGTGGAGTCCTAGGTAGCGGATTTGCTCAACATAGATAAGTGGAGTATTGTTAAAGGAAACTGTAAGACAGGAAGTCATTGGTTTACGACGGAGGGTGAAGGTAATTTGGTGGGATTTATTGGAGACTGATAATTTGATCACAAAATCGAGAAAAAAAAGTTTCCTACAAAAATATTGGGTCGCTATGCATGACTTCCATCCCTAGCATGTTAAGATATGCCGAAGGGCCCGAAATTTTTAAAATCCACCTTATTTCTGGATTTTGAGGTCAATTTTTTTTACGTTTAAATTTGAAAGCAAATATTCATGAGTTTTTAGTAAATATTGATTTCAATTCATGTCTGAGAATTTTCGTAGATAAAAAGTTGTATGTTAAGATTAGATGAAAAAATTCATAAAGCTTAGAAAGATATTAATAATTTGATAAAATGGAGTCTACCGTGGACTATGAAGGCTTGGGTTCAGTATATATAAATTTTTAATTGTAAATGCATAATATCGTAAATATACAATTAAATATATGTTGTAAATTTATAAATGGTTATAAATAGAAGAAACTATTATTATATTAGTCTAGAAAAAGTTTGTTAATGGATGTTAATAATTTTATAAAAAAATTATCTGTAATGTGGGCTATCACTTCGCAATCGAGTTTCAGGAGCTACAAGATTGTCCGACTTAATTTATTTCCTCATCAAGTTATATTTTGGGTTTCTCTCGTCAATTTAGTGCTTTCTTTATTTTTAACTTCATCAACCGACCTGTTAAGTAGTCTTTCAATCCTTCATTTGGATTGATAGGGAATCCACTGAATAACATTGAGTGACTACCTTTCATCATTTCTTCTTGTCAGATGTCCAACCAATCTTCACTTAAGAAATATCAAGTGTTGGATTGCATCTTTCATCGTTATGAGAAAATAAGGGGTTTTCGTATTTATAAATCAGGAAATTCTATATCTAAAATGCACAATGTTCAATCGTACAATAAATGAGGCAATTTAAAAGGTGTAGTTAGAACATTCGTAAAAAGGAAAGCATAGTAGACAAAAAAAAAAATCGAACATGAAGTGACGGAAATAATCACTAATGTATAAGTAAGTCCATTCCGCTTTGCTTTCCCAGGACTTATGCTAATTAAAGAAAATGTTAAACCAAAACTAATTGTGAGAAGCTATCATTAATTCTAATCTGTGTTTTCACTGTAATTAATGTATAATTCAACACAGCTGCGGAGTTAAAACCAACTACTACTTTTTTTACTTATTGTCTTTTTTTTTTTAAATGTCTAACATAGATAAGCACCAGAAGTTCAACTACTAAAAAAAAGAATTAAAGCAGAGCAAGGTAACTAGAATATCAAACATCAAAATAGGTTCAATCGAGGAATTCTCACTCACAACATTTTTTTTTGTCGATGGTAGAATCAATATAATTAAAAAAAAATTATATCAATTTTCACAATATATGGGAGCCATAATAATCTACTCAACACACAATAAACATTATCATAATTATGGGAATAAGACAGAAGTCACGAAAGTACATGAGAAGTTAAGGATGTTGGAAAAATACAGATATTTTAAAATATTTATCGCTGATATATAGATTTTTCGTTATATATATTTTTAAGTTAATATTTCCACCTCACTGGTCATAAAAATAGGAACATTTTGATATCAATATAGCTATCACATTGGTCATAAAAATAGAATATTTTTTTTATATCATATAAAAATAAGATAATTGGTCTCATTTTTTATGTTCTTATTTTACGATACATTTTTATGGATTTTATCGTTTATTAGTCACAGTTAATTTAATTTTAATTTTCTTAATTTTTTTTTCATGTTGAACAATTTATTCGTTTTTCTATAGTTTTCAGTAATGTCTCATTAATAATAAATGTTAATTTTGTTTTGTTGAGTTTTTAGTAATTCTTTCATATTGATTTACATTCGTCCTATTTATATTTTGACGTTAAAGTTGTTTAACTGACTTCCCCTGTTTATAGTTTTTTATTTCAAGTTCCTAGAAATAAGATGTTATATTTTTTATAAATAATAAATAATTTTCTATCTTGTAATTATCTATATTATATAAATGTATATCATTCTTTCAAATTTACACTTCTGCTCTTTTCAATGACTAAAAATAAGGAGACACGATTGAAATAGCTAATATCTAATTATTATTAACGTATATTTTAAAATTTTCGATGATATACATGTCGTATATATAATAATAATAGTACATTCTTTAATTATTTCTACACTCCTTTTTTTAACAAAATTGAGTAGTTTAGAGCTTCAGAATAACATAAAAAATAACAAAAAATAAACAAATAGAATTAATAAGAAATTGTAAGATAACATAATATTAAAAACAAGTCATTATAACTAGTAAAAGTATTGAATAATAACTTTGTTATTTGGGAATGATTACTTACACTTAACAACGATTGAATTTATTTGTTGTATTATCAAATTGCATGTTTACAAGTTAGCGTTTCGTAATATTTACTCCCATATTCAGAACCACAATCCCAACGATGTTGTGGATGCATGGCTTAAATCTAATGTGCTCCATTATCAGGTTCTAATTCAAGTTATAATAAATAAAGGTATATAACATCCAGAGCAACGTCTTGCTTTTAGACTAATTATTGAGTGTCTAATTCTAATTGTTGTTAATTGGAAGTAATCATTGTCAAATAACAAAGAATATCATACAGCTTCCCAGAAAAAAGAAAATTAAATAATAACAAAAAGAACAAATAATTTAAATACATATTTTTCTCCCCTCATGCCTCTTACGCCATTGTTCTTAAAGAAATGACCATCAAATTCACTGATTGTCGATAATTCCTTTGACAGGTGTGAATAAAGAATCACATATATATATATATATATATATATATATATATATATATATATATATATATATATATATATATGATTCTTTATTCACATATATCTTCTGATTCTTTATTTATACAATATATAAATTATATTATATATATAATATAAATATATTTAATAGAGGAGGGATTTGAATGTGTAATAATAAGTATCGAAATATTTTTTTGTTGACTATTACATCCCAATTAGAACTAGTGTTAGAAGCAATAGAAGCAAAGTCGTTTTCCGAAGGTGTGTTTACTGGTACAACTACAGTTTACAATTACAATACTAATACAATAAGCAGATATGACTCATGATATGAAGTTGGACTTTGTCTAAAGTAATTGACCGGTTTTCTTTCGACACGACCCAGGACGGAGATTCCATCCCTAGCAACCCGATGAGTCATAGGGGAGCGAACCCTCCACTGCCGCAATCAGGAAATGGCACGGGAGCATTACTGCATAACTGTAATAAATGCCACTTATTCTATTCAATTACAAATACTTTACTCATTATAAATAATTTATTTCCTCTCCTGAGGAAGCCCTGTAGAAACCCTAAGATATATTACATAGCAAGGGAATGGAATTATAATTGGATGCGATGCACAAGAATTTTCATGAGCGAGAATATTCCTTTCCAAATTTTCATATTTTTCTTGATTATAAATAATAATAATATTTTTTATTATTTATCAGTTACACGTACCTTATATGTAATACTTTACATACCGACCTAAGACGACCAATCATTGACCAGCACATAGGTACTCTCTACTCCCGATTTCATCTTAAACTACACGGATATCACAATGGAGTTATCAACCACATGGCCACGGTTGACATGCTCAACTGGAGGCGACTGAAAAGGAGCTAAAAGAAAGATCTCTTTTCCTAATTTCACGATGTAAACATACTATTCTTCATCATGACTAT